ATCAAAAAATCAAAAAAAAAAAAATCACTATCACAAGCGTATAACAATTGAAACGAAAAACACAATATTAAAAAAGATATGTGGATATATCCGAAGTACAGAATGTCATTGATTAAACATAATTTAATATTACCCTCTCGTTCGCTCATATTAATATAACCACATATCTTTTTTCCGGTTGCCTTTTGTATTTTTGGCGGTAGCATACCGTGACGTTCATATTCGGTTTCGGCAAAATATCGGTCTTCATTTTTTTGTAGAAACCTTTAACCAATAATGAGAATTTTAGCAAAAAATAAATATAATTTCTTAAATTGAACAAAAACAAATAATATTACTTTAAAAAATCTATTAAATGCTCTTCAAGAGTCTCCGTAGCAGCTTGATCCATTGTAGTGTGAGCAAGTAATCGTGGAAGTTCAACTTTTTATAAAAATTAAAACGAAATATCTACATCTGTTTAGTTATTATAAATGAGAATTTGTACAAATAATTTATAAATTTACAAACCAAAAAGTCGTAACAAATGCTCTGCTCCATATATCTCTGAATTTTCTTTATCAAGGAATTGCTTACGGATGTTTACGTATTGCTGACGTTCTTCAGCATACAAAAGAATGTTTCCAAGAGTTTTGTCAAAGTATATCTTAATACCTTGGACAACTTCGGAATGTATATCATCCCTGTAAAATATTTGTACAAGATTAAATAAACATATATTTTTATAATAATTTTAAAGAATTGCATCTTACTTATCAGGTTTCAGATTGGAAGCTGTGACAGCTATCGGATTGTGTTTGAAATCCAAATATTCATTCAAGATTTCTGCAACTGTATATTTCCGAGGTAATTTCAATAACTACAATGAAAGAGAAATATAAAAAATAAAAAACATTAATATGTAATCAATAGTAAACGGAACTTGATTAAAGTAATTATAATAAATACAGCATTATTCCTCGTAACGTTTTCCCAATCATCAATTAATTTGACTTTTAGTGACTCTGGTAGTAGTATCTTGATTTCGAGACGGTTCATGAATTCTTCCTCCTAAATTAATAAATAATATTACATTAAACTACGAGTAAAAGCTTTTATGAAAATAATCTAATAATGATGATCCAATTACTAACTTCATCTTCATCTTCATTAATTTTTTTTCTTTTTTTCCCGCGTTCTTGATTTTCTCTCTGTAGTTGATCCTCCTGTGATTCTGTGTCATTCCTATCTTCACTGTCTGTTTCTTCTGAGATAATTTGTTAATTCGAAAGCCCTTTGATCCTTGTTCAACATTTTTTTGTCAATTATGAATTGAACTTTACTTACCTCCCTGATGTTTTAGCGAGCTTTCCGAGAAATCACTTCCTTTATTTTGTTCCTCAAGTTTATAAATTGTTTTTGCCGGTTTCTTTTTTTTATTTGAATATGTGTCTTTAAGTTGTTTCTGTCTAATTAAATTTGCTTCGTTGTGTTTTACTACTCTTTCTTCCGGAACCCATTCATCCCATCTATTAAAATATTAGAAATTAATCTCGCGACAAATCTCCAAAACGCGTTTAAACGCGAAATTTTACGTACGTTTTCTTCCAGCCTTTGTAATGTACATAATAGTGTGGACCAGTGTCACCAGAATCTGAATCATTGGGGCCCCAGTTTTCAGCTTTTAGGATCTATAATTTTAATCAGCTATACGTAAATTATGATAAGGAACAAATAATTTAGAACTATTTCGACTATACCTTGGCCTCATAAAGCAAAGGACCATGAAAGCACAAAACAAGTTCATTCTGTTCAAAATTTAGCTTTTGATCGGGAATTTCAGCGTCAGCCATGTGAATTAGTTATTTTAGAATTGAAACTCTAACGCAAGATAGAAAAGATTATTAAATTATGTATTAAATATACCCTTGGAGATAGATGTTGCATGACGACGATCAGAGGTAACAAATTCAGGGGTTAAAATGTACAATAAAAAAGTTTGATCGAATTTCAGCTTGATTTCTCTCTCTCCGTTCTCTTTGCCAGTATGCTCGCTTTTCAAGTTCCTTGATGTTCTTGTTTTTTGCAGTTCAAGATTCTTTCATATTTTCGAAATTTTTTCCGTCGTTTAAGCTTTTCTCATATTTTCCGTATTCAACTTAGCCGTGTTTTTTCTTGTCCACCTCCGTGAATTTGCTTTGCGTTTGAACGTATCCAATGACTTATTAGCCCGTTCTTTAGCATTAGATGTCTCGCCTGAAGCCAGAGATTCCTAATATTTCGGATTTAGAAAACTTTGATTTGCTTTTTTGCTGCTTCCGACATGCTATACTGAAATTTTGCTTATAATCTTGCTTAATTTTTTTCTTTATATACAGTGACTTCCATAATTATTGTACCACTTCAATTATAATTTTTAGATCGTGATACCTGAATAATTAAAGTAACTATATAACTAAAATTTTAATCCAATTTAAAGCCTGTAATCGGATTTTTTAATGTATTTAAATTTGAGTATTACTTAATTTGTGGCTTTTTAAAAATTTTCTTTATATGCAATTTTTTCGTGATACAATACTTTTGACAATCAAAATTAATATAATAAAGTTATGAACGTGCGACGCGTCTTATACATATAAATAAATTTAAATCAGTAAATCAATGTGCCTTTCTTTTGTTTTTTTTTTTTTTAAAATGTATTATGAAGGCGATTTCACTTCACCACAGGGAACGTATTTTTTCCCTTATCCAAGAAGGTTTACCAAGTCATACAATTGCTTCTCGCGAAAATATAAGTCATGCTTCTGTAATAAGAATCAAACAACGAAAAGAAGAAACAGGCAGCTTTGATGTTATTTCAAAACCAGGCCGCCTAAGAATATTTACAGAGGAATATTGACAGGTTTATTAAGTCGGGTGAATGTACAAATGCTATTCAAATTCAAAAATCTTTAATTTTCAACAAAAATATTATTATTTCACCAAATACTATTCAACGCTCATTGAAAAGACAAGGTCTTGTAACTAAAGTTAAAAAAAAACATTGTTTCTAAACAGATATAGAAAAGCCTAAAAAAATTAAATATAAGAATTGGATTATAGAAGATTGGCGAAAAGTAGTATGATCAGATAAGAGTAAATTCTTAATTTTTGGTTCATATAGTATTAGAAAAAACAAATTTATCTTTGCAACCACAGCATATTAAACTAACTATAAAGTTTGATGAAGGTTCAATATTATAAAATTGATGAAAGAATGAATAGAGAGCTATATAGGGAAATTTTGGGAGATAAGTTTTTAGAAATCCTTAACACATGTAATTTGAATGTAAATAATATCATTTCTAACAAAATAATGATCCAAAATATATAACAAAGAAAATATATGAGTGGTTTGATGATAATAATATTGAAATTTTATAATGACCAATATAATCATCAGACCTAACCCCATTGAACATTTGTAAAATGAAATTGATCGTCATTTGCAATAGTTTCCTGATAATATTACTAGTATAAAAGATTTGTGAAATAAGATACAATTAGTATAGAATCAAATTAATATTGATTTTTATTTAAAGCTAATTGATATTATGTCACAATGAGTTAAAGATGTACTTAAGGCTAATAAGAATATACGAGATGGTAATAGTATTATTAAAAAAAAGCTAAAGCATAGTTTGTTAAAAAAAATTTGAAACATAAATTAAATCTTTTAATCATATTTTTAGTACTAACTTGTGTATTCATAAAT